ATCCACATGGAGGCAGGCCTTGTCGAGGCGAAGTGGCAACAAGGCACTCCCTCGATCGACACCGAGCATGACCTCACAGAGAGCCTATCCGAAGGCAGTCAGCGCGGCTAGCTGGTTGTCCATCTCTAGCATCCTCTAGTTCGCGGTCACCTTCTCATCCTGATCCAAGAGCGCCTTCGTGCGCAATCCTGTGCAAAGATAACTGGTTCATAGCCAGACGCAATGACAGAACAAAGACACAGCGCAGAACAAAAGGGAACTTGCCGCTACAAGTGGAGCATAGCTTCTGGCACTCAGCTTCAAGGCGCTGATGCCCCTGCTCTGCCATTTCCTAGGTAGCGCCAGCCGAGGTAAGCTCGGCCTCTTGGATAGCCATCACATCCTTGAGACCGGCTACCTAGGACATCAAAGCCTCGACCTAAGACTGAGCCTGCGCCTCCCGACAGGCCAGCTCCTCCCCTGATCTCTAGGTGGCCATCAACTCCCCGTGCAAGCACTGCACATCAGCCTCCGCTGTGGCCAGACGGTCATGGTCGGTGGCACCTCCTGCTTGTGCCTGAAAAGCCAGGCGCAAGAACCGGGACTTCTCCATCGAAGTCCTCATTAGCTCCTGCAGAAAAGAAGGGTGATCAGACGGCCGCGACAAACAGCGGAACAAGCATGGTAGAGACGGAGGACCAGAAAACTTACTTACGCCTGAACCTCCACCTCGTTGATCATCCAACGACGGGCCTCTGCACTCAGTCTAGCGACCGTGGCGACCGCGTCGCCCATCTCAGTCAAGGTTGCCTGAATCCTCTCACGGCTTTGGGAAGAAACCTCCCTCGTGGCTCACTCGGTCGCATCATCCACCACAAACAGCGCTTCACCAGAATTTGTCGGATGGGGCCACGAGAGGCGGTCCTCACCCAGGTCGAGCTCGTCCGCAAGGGGCGAGCACAAGGCCACAGTAGAGGCCCACACGGCCATCACCCCCAAGGTAGCACCATCCCCCAACAACTCCGGCCACGTAGAGGGGCACGCACCACCTCCTGAGGGCCTTAGGACCGCAAGCTCCAGAAGGGGTTCCCTACATCACGAAGATTAACAAAGCCCAGATAGCTAGATAATGTCGACAAGCACGGCATGAAAAAAATCTAAAGAACGGCGCACCTAGTGGAGCGTTCCACCAAGGGTAGGGCAATCCACCCTTCTGCACGCAGTTCAACAGAGGGGATCACGGCGGGAGGCGCCAACGTTGATGCCGCGGGCCAAATGCCGGCGAGGTGCCCCCGATAGCGCTGACAATCACAGCATCCTCCGTGTCGTGATCCCGATGGCCCCTGCCTCCCTAGGTCCTGGTGTCTCCACACGAAAGGACAAGGACGCAAGGGGCCCGACCACTGTGCTGTCAAGGAGGCTCTGAAGGAGGTCTGGGTCCTCCCCTTCGGGTATCTCTAGGGAAGGGCGGCAAGCTCCACTATCCGTCCTACCCGTAGCACCCTTCTCTGCCATGTTCTCGTCGCCTTCTCCTTAGGCAAGAGCCTCGGGCCCTAGTGGGGGGGACGCGTAACAACCTAGGTTTTCGTGCATCCAAAAATATGAGCTTTTTAAAATTTTTCCGCAATGTGTGAATCACGTAGTGTCTAGGTCAAACTCGAGACAAACCTAGGTGAGTTTACAAGTGAATTGGTGCATCCATATAGATTTGATTGTAGGAGTGTGTCGTTGTTGAGTCGGTTTTCTGTCTAAACTTGTTCAGAGTTTGGAGTGCACAAATCCGTAGCAATTTCCCTTGGATCCTTTTTGGGATTCCTCCCAACTTCCTATTGAATCCATCTCAAAAAAATTTAATCTTTCTCAATCCCTTTTTATCAGAAATGGAAACCTCCTATATTTTTCCCTAGCAAGGATTGGAGAAAAATCCCTTCTCCTCCTCTCATTGAATTCCTCTCAAATTTTCTCTTTGAATCTATCTCAAATCCCTTTGAATTTCCCCCTGCCAAATTCTTTAAGCCAAAAAGGAAAAACCCATTTTCTTTTTTCCCTTTTCATCCAGCCCAACTCAGAGCTGGGCCTCGGTCGTCCTCCCGCCGGCCCGCTCACGCCACTGGCCCAACTCGAAGCTGCAGCAACATAGCTCGCACCCTCCTTCCTCTGGCCCATCCCACGCGTGAGGCCTAGCTCCCTCCCACCGCCACGTAGCCCAGCAGCACACCGGCCTGATCGGCCTAGCCATGAGCCCCCACAAGCCTGTGAGCCCATCGGCCCCCGTAGGCTTGTCGCGCTGCCCCTGCCTAACCCTAGGAGTCGCATGCCCCTACACTCCCGAGCCACCGCCGCAACTCGGTGGGAGAGCCCCGCGCCCTCGCCGTCCGCGCCCCTCTGGTCGATGCTCGCCACATGCCCTACCGCGATACGGACACCAAGGCATCACCGTTGGCGCCTAAAGCCCTAGCTAGCGCATGCCTATAAGGAGCCAGTCGCCGCCGCCCACTCGGTCTCTCCCTATAGTCGTCGTCGCACCACCTTGAGCGCCTCCAGCCGAGCTACCCCGACCACGCTGTCGTCTGGCCGCGCCACCCCGAGCTCCCCTTCAAGCCGCGCCATCGGAGCTCACCTCTGCCTCCTCTCCGAACTGGCCACGCAGCCACGATGACGACCACCGTGAGCTCCCTCACCAACCCTGTGACATTGTGCTCTCCTCGTCCACGGCCGCACCCCTGCTCCGTCCTCGCCGAACCACCGTGCCACCACCTCTAGCCACCGTCCGGCTCTCCACCGCCACCTTCATGATCGCAAAAACGCTCGGGGGCTACTGTCGGGGTTGTAACCTAGGGGTGTCTCAAGACACCGATTAGTTAGCAGGCCGCGTGGCCTACAGTGCAACAATCAGTAAGGGCCCAAACGATAGAGGCCCAGCAAAAGCCAAGCGGGGCAAGCCAACCGCCAAGGCCGGGGTCATCCTCGACCTCTTCTACCCGCCTTAGTACACGACCTCTCCCCGTCATGACCCCCGAAAGGGATGGGAGGAGGTTGAGCACAGCTAGGTGCGCCTGCTCTGACAAGAGCAAGAATGATGCACTGACCCCGCAAGGACCAAGGGGACAACTGCCACCTCGGCCTGGTCAGACGCCATCCCTGTGCCATGCCGCACCGACGAGACAACACTGCACCACAGGGGCAACGTGTATGACACCCACCGTCCAAATATGGACCGACTAGACGCTTGTACGATCCCATCCACTACGAGATGGGATCCTTAACAAGGGACTCGATGAAGAGGCCATCCAGACTGGCAGAACGCCCAACCCCGACGATCGGGGTCATGGCTCCCAGTCCCGTAAAGCCACAAGGCGAATGATGGCCCTGGGGACCAGGAGCGATGACGGAGGGCACGATGGATACCACATTGCATAGGACGAACGGCTAACGAATCATCATCAAGGTTGCAATGCCGCCACGGATGGCACAGTAGCGCCACGCCATACCCTGTCGCAACACGGCCAGAAGACCATGATGATAGCCAATATCGGACACGCACCAGAAGACGGCGATAGCTTGCAAGCCAAGTTAGCTAGGACCTCCCTCAGGCTCACGACCCTTCGGTCGGGAGAACCTACTGCTTTGTATGCGCCCTGGCCCCGAACACTATATAAGGGCAGCCATGGCACCCTTTCCAGATATTCTGAATCCTCTACAATTCCATTCATTCACCATTATAGTAGGGCTCCTGGAACTTCTCTTCGGGTACCCCTTCGCCTAGCATAGGCCCCTCCATCTTTTTTACCATTCTTGCACCCCATTGTAAGAACTTCAGAGTATTCAAGCGAGGAACACGCACTCGATCATCTCTGATACTGGACGTAGGGCTTTGGCCTAAACCAGTATAAATCCTCGTGTTTATTGGATGCTACTATCATCTTCCTAGAGCAGCACGACAATCATATAAGTTTACTAGTCTAGTTTACAAAACACCGACACTAGTCTTCTACTACTCATTGAGTCATCTCTCATGTCTCAAAGCTAATTAAAAAAATGTTTGATAAAATAATTTCTTATGATAGATCTGAGAGAGAGAACTGAGAAAAGCTGATATTTTCAACTCCATTCGTCATCCACTCCATGTGAGACCGGGTTACCGGGCTTCACTTGAGAAATTGTTATATTTCAACACATTTGACAAAAATTAGCTCTAAATCACTCCTGAAGTCACCGGAGAAGCCGTGGAACAGCTTCAAAAGCTATTCTTTTTGCCGAAAGGGTTACAATAAAATAGCTCATCTGAAGCTCTTTAAATCTTGCTCGAGTGGGTACTACACGGAGCTAAAATAATAGTTTTTTCTAGCTTCATCTATTCTATCTACTACCACGGCGTTTGGATGCAGGTAGGGATAGGGATAGGGATAGGGATAGGGAAATAGAGTAGGATATGGAGGGAGTGGGTTATGGATTTGGAAAAATGCTAATCCAACGTTTGGATGCAACAAGGTTTGTGTTTGGGTTATAGTAGGGCCCACATGCTTTTTTTAAGAAAAATAAAAGGAGCACCGGTCGTCTCCTACCCACAGCACACAGGCGCCAAGCCAAGCACACACGAGAGCACCGCCAGCGAGTAACAAGCATCGCCCCTCACGGGAGTCACGGCCAGCGAGTAGCAGCAGGGGATGGGCATCGGAGCGAATTCCATGGGGATAGTCCCCAGTGGGCACCTGACGTCCACGCATGACGCGTGTCTCATCTCGCTAGGAACTGTGGTTCCGTGGCAACTGGGAGCCGCTTCCCATCCGGCTGATTTGGTCGGCTCGCTCGCGGCTGAGGCTGTGAGTGCTCGGCTCATAGCTTTCACGCTCAGGCCCCCATCCACCTGACCAACTGGGGCCGCTGCCGACACCGCCTCGACCTCCCAGATACACCACCAGCCGACCACCGCCGGCGCCCATCCCCCCACGTACTACGACCAGGCCTCCGCGTCCGGCCGGGTTTGTTTGCCGCCACCCCCCTCTGCTCCCTCTCCTCCGATGGGCACGTCCGGCAAGAAGGCGGCGCGGGCTCTCCTCAACGGGGAAGCATATCAACGACGACCGGAGCAGGTGCTCCTCGTCCTCCATGACGCGCTCCCGCAAACTCTGGTTGCGTTCCCGGTCCCTCCCCATGCGCGGGCCTCGACGACGCTTCCTATACGGCTGCGTTGCCGAGCTCTGGCGCAGGCGCGGACGCGGACGCGGACGCCGCCAAGCTGCTGGGCAAGAAGTGATGAGGAGTTTAGGATTCGTGTTGCTGTTGGTGGCAGCGGCAGCATTGATCAAGCCGTCAGTAGTAGGGGGCGGCGGAGGAGGACTCGGAGCGTTTCTCGTTGCAGTGGTGGCAGCATGCTTGTCTTCCATCACCACTTCTGATTGGGGATCTGGTTAGCCATCCAGACACTTTATTCTTCGTAGGACAGTAGCGATTGATTCACGGAATGCTTGCTTCCTTTGTGCCCGGGGTCTGCCACAAATTTGCAATACGAGTTCCTTTTGTGTTCTCGAAAATTGTTTCTTTGAATTAGCTGCGGACCTGCTACTTAAAATTAAAAAATGGATTATGAATTAACTAAGTACTTCACTTACCAAATTGATGCAGGGACAGAGCTTTTGAAACAAAAATGTTAGTTTGTTTTTCCCTGTATTCTGGGTATGTTTGGTTGGATTATTTTCTATTAAAATTTGTTCTTCTGCAAGATCCTAGAAAATGAGTCATTGACAAAGGTAGACTTACTTTGTAGGATTGTTCTGGATGGATGCAAGTGAATAGAATATGGTCAATTTGCTTACCAGACATGGTTGGTGCAGAGGAAATATTGGCCAATTTACTGCAATTTGCTTCAGATGGACTATTGAGTCAGTTATCAGAGAATGCTTTGAAGACAATGCTGTTTCTAGAGTTCCTATCTCTTCTTTCCCTTGAAAAATTATCATGTACGTGTGATTGTATCTGTGCAAACTACTTCGATATTCCACAAGAATTCAGTGTTGCGTGGACACCTATCTTGAGAGCCATCAGCTGTTGCTTGGTTTGAACTTCTATGTAAGACGGCTTTGGCTGACAACTCAACTGGAGATGCTCCTTCCATGGCTCCAGCTTTTACACGCTTTCCAGCTCTCACAGCAATGAAAATCCCAACCAACCTCATCACAGTAAACCTGGACAGAAGCATCGGGGAGTGCCTCCAATTTCACTTCTGGAGAAGCATAAAGAATATGTTCGATTATTCGTGATCGCGGTTCTTCCAACAGCAGCATTCTCGTTCATTGCTGCATTTCTAATTTTCTACTGCTGTGGATACAGCAAGAACAAGGGCCCTGTTCGCTTGAATATATGAGCCGTACCGTTTCAGCGAAATAACAGTGTTTTTCTCTCACAACAAATCAGTATCAGCATCAGCCGTTTTTACAGCCAGCCGAACAGGGCCAAGGTCTCTGTCGGTGACCAAAGAGATGATCATCCTCTTCTTCACATGCAGTTGGCTAATATGCCTGGTGAGACATTATCCCCATTGTCAACCTGTGATGGATTGTTCTTACTTCTTTAGTATAATACTAACTTGCAACATTCTGTTCTCAGGTTCATCACCTGATGCCTGTGTTGTCACCTTTTGAATCAAGTCATTGCGAAGGATCATCTGCTGGCGAATCATCTGAAGCAGAAGTTAATGCTCCGAAGGATTGATGTTCTATCTAGCATGCGTTTGATCCATCTCTGTCTTGTTCCTCCGTGACTAAGGACTGCAAAACAGGGACCCTACACATTCGTCGGACAAGGAAACTTTCCTTGCAGAATTCATCAGCCTGGGGGCTGTCTGCCAAGGCTCATGGTTTATCTGTGAGGACTACAACCTAGCTGATCAAATTGTTGAAGAGGGCAATTGTTGGGTAGCAAAGGGTTTCATCTCTACGTCAGTGTTCCTGGCACACACAGCGGGGTTGCAACCTGAAGGGCGCTGGACATCGTCGCAAAACTTGTAATCTGTAATAGGAATTACGGTTGTACCTTGTTTATTTTCGTTTCTGGTGTTCCTTCGTCTGTCGCGGGTATCTCGCTCGACGATAGTTGAAGGGGTGTGCCTTCGCTCCTTTGAGTCGAGTTCATATCAGCTGTAAAAGAGGCACGGTAGACAGCAGCCCACTTTTTCCTCACACGAAACAAGTTTTCCATCCATTGGTTCTCCTTGAGGTTATACTCTATCAATAATTCTTGCCACTTCTGGATAAATAGAACTTCTGATCTATCCTCATAAACACATCTCTTAAAATCAGGTAGAAACTTAACAGGATGCTTATGAATTACATGCCCCAGATGTTTAGCAGCACAAACAAAGACGTGCCACAAACAAAAGACGATGCCTTGTGTTTCGGAACACATAGGCAACTGCTCCTGCTATAGCCGCATCTTGATCAGTGAAAATTGTGCTTGGATGTTTGCCTGACACTGCTGTTAGGAAGGTTTCAAAGAGTCAAACAAATGATTCAATGGTCTCATTAAATATTAGTGCAGCACCAAAATTTATTATCTGCTTATGATGGTTAGTTCCAAGGAGTGGAGCAAAAGGCATTTCAAATTTATTAGTCTAAAATGTGGCGTCAAATGACACAGAATCACCAAAGCATGCATAATCCATGATAGATTGAACATCTGCCCAGAAGAAATTAACAATTCAACCATCTTCCTCATTTAATTGAACCGCATAAAAAATGTAGGATCCTATGTTTGCTTCTGCTTCAAGTATTCCAACAATGTTTGTGCATCATTGGATTCTAAGTACTTCTTGCGCTCGCGACCAATCTCATTATTGCAATCCATCCTTGAGAATGGCACTTTGTCTGGTCCTCCGTAGAACTTCTTCATAAACTCATACACCTGGCCTAGCTTCATCCCTGCTTCCCTTATATGCCCAATCAACTTTCTGTCTGCTTCTGTAATACGCCGCTGGGACTTCAGCTTCTGGCATTTATTTGGACTAGCAAGATAATGATTGTGATCAAGAATAACCTTTTGAACTGTCCAAATCCCTTCTCTACTAACACTAAATTGAACACGAGCATCACATCCCGTGCTTGTAATGTCCTTCTTTGATAACTCATTATCCCGGTATCCTTGGTTGCTACAAACTATATATTTCGAAGTATAGTTTCATCTGCTCGACGTTTTGTATGGCTCTTTCTAATACTAAACCCTACGGACCGGGCCTCATAAGCTTTATCTTCCTAATCAAAACCATTCCAACCTCAGGAACAATCAAAGTTTGCCCCGCTTTATCAACTTCCTGATGCATAATGAGATGAAAATTAAAGTTATTTAAGCAAGAATCAATAGTACGGATTTTTACATGCCTAATAATCAATCTAACGTCTCATACCTTAGCTGCTTGTTGTGCTATAGATCCTATTAACTCTGAAACTGATGTAGTCACGGGCAGTGTAGATGTTGATTCAGTCACAGCATGGACATTCCCCTGCTTAAATACACATGTTGAGACGTTAGCACACATATATAGCAATGAAACAAACCTAGCCATAATATAATAGATGTTATTCATGTCATTGTGCGCGAACGGTAAATCCACATACCTGTAATGTACGAGATTCACTAGTGCATGAAGTATCAAAGTTGATACGGTCGTCATCTATGATCGGAGCTGTAGCACCTCTGCTTCGGGCAGAGTCTGTCACCATGGCGGCTGTTACTCCGCTCAATGGTGCAGATAGCTGCTCAACGTCCGATTGAGCCTGAACAACGCAGCTCGCTTTGCTTGCGCGAGTAGGAGACGCGCATCCAGCTTTCTCCTCGGACGGTGCCGGCAACTCCGGTGGCGAGTCCTGGTTCTGGACGGCCGCCTCGGACTGGTCCTTCATGGAAGAAACCTCGTGGGCCCTAACGACTCGAGCGGTGCCGGCGAGGAATTCAGCACGGACAGTTTCCTCTCCTCGATCGGTTGTGGCGGTGGCTCAGCTCAGTGCCGGCGAGGAGTTCCGCACAAAAGGCTTCCTCCTCAAACGGCTGCGGGGAGTCGGCACTGTTCCCTGTGGGACTCGGCATCCTTCTCTAGGAAGCTTTGATCCTTCTCTACGAAGGAACCAAGTGGATCCGTGCGTGTAGTCGTGGGAGGCGCTAAAGCCGAGTTACGAGCCGAGTTGGCAGCCGATGGAGCGCAAGCTGAGTTTACCCACTGCACGGGAGTATGGGACACGCGTCAGGCGTAGACTGCATGTGCCGACAGACGCCCGGTGCGGACTATCCCCAACGAATTCCGGCATGGGGTGCCTGACGACTAGCTTCCCTGGCAACCGGTGGCGGTGGGGACCACCTTCATAGCATGCATTGCACGGACAGGTTCCATGGATGACCATGGGAGGCGGGAGATCGCCTACTCGCGGCCGTCGATTTCGATGAAGATGGCCAACTTGAGCTCGGATCGGGCTGTAAGTCGCTGGATCGATCTTCACCTCGCCGGAACCAAGCTGCTCCCCTGTGGTTCTTGGCTCCCCTCGCTGCTCTAATCTTGGGAGTGTTCGGCTGGTGGTAAGCCGCTGGTGTTGATTTGTATGGCTAATTTTTTAAGAGAGAAAATATTGTACCATGGCTTATAAGTCAGCAAATAAGCTAGCTAAAACAACCAGATGTCGATATTTTGGACCGGCGGGTCCTCAACCAACGAGTGAAAACGTACTGCGTGTCCCTATCCCGGATGGTGATGCAAAGAGACACAAGATTTATACTGGTTCAGGCAATAGGTGCCCTACGTCCAGTTTGAGAAAGCGATCTTGTATTCCTTACACCGAAGTGCTTGTAGTAGGGGTTTACAAGCAGGGCGAGAGAGGGGGTTAGTCCCAGGTCTCTGCGTAGAGCGGCGTGGGTTGCTTGAGATGTTGATCTCTCGCAGTGAGGAACGTGTGTATTACAGAGTGTTACTCGTTGCTTGCGCGTGTGTGAGAGCGTGGTTTTGATCTGTTTTCTCCATGCCTAGAAGCGGTCCCGGTCACTCCCTTTTATAGTCGAAGGAAGGCACGGGAACGGTACATGGATTGCTACGTGGCGTTTTGTGAGCGGAGGTGGCGCGCCGAGCCCTGTAGCTTGTCATTGTGGCGGCATGGTCGATGAAGCGGTCTTGTCCTTGGTGTACTGAAGCGGCGTGCCGGTCACACCTGGTCCTGTGAGACGTGGGAGCTCCTGTGGTGGCAGGCGCGTCTTCCTCTGCCGGAGGCGTGCTGGTTGCTGCATGTTTGATCGGCGCTGAGTGCCGAGGCCGAGCTGACGCGATGGTGCGGTCGTGCTGATTCCGAGGATACAGGAGCTTGGCCCTACACGTGACGTGGGTGCAGCTTGGTGCAGGGTATGGTGCGTACTGCAGACGACGTGCCGGTCGCTGCGTGTTGACAGCGTAAAGAGTAGAGGCTCAGTTGGTGCCGACGCCGAGCCATCGTGGGGGGCTCGGCGGGCGCGAATCCCGAGGCTACCGAGACCCTGAAGCGGATTGTCGAGGCTCGGAGGGAGCAGTTGGTCCTGTACACTGATTTCGAGGCTACAGGGACCCGGACCTGACTCTCCATGCCGCGCTGTCCTCGGAGCAGGAGTTAGGTAGCATAGTGCAGTACGGGCGTCAGCAGGGGGCACAGTGCCGAGCACAGTGGCCGGTAACCCCTGCCCCATCCTGTCCCGGACTGCATGGTGCCGATGTGACTCCCGTCCCGTCGGCCATTCCGTTGTACCGCGCCGGAGTGTGGCTGACGTTGCGGGAGTGGTTGGACGCATTGGTTGAGTGTGACGCTCTGTCAGGGTGGTCGATCAAAGCTGCGGCGGGACCGATGCCGAGCCGGCCTCGAGCGAGACGGAGAATCGGTACCTCGCCCAAGGCCTTTCGGGTGGGGCCTCGGGTGAGGGGTCTCTGGCGAGGCGGAGAGTTGATAGCTCATCCGAGACCTTGCGGCGTGGGCCTCAGGCGAACTGGAGAATCTGCCGAGGCCTTGCGGCGTGAGCCTCGGGCGAATCGGAGAATCGGCCGAGGCCCGCGTGGTTGTCTTTTGGCTTTGGTATTTACAAGGTCTAAGCAATTTTTTCGGTTCTTGCTTAGGGTACCCATTTCTATGGTATCCGACAGTAGCCCCCGAGCCTCGGGGGGAGTGCGGGCACTCTCCCCGAGGTTTTGACGAGACTCGACTCGCAGTGGCTTTAGTCGGGATTGTGCTTTGTGTCTGAGGCCTCGGTGGGTGCGCACGAGCGCACCCGCCGGGTGTAGCCCCTCGAGGCCCTGGAGGAGTGGATTTACTCCTCCAGGGGCTTTTTCCCTGTTGAAGAGTTTTATCGCGTTTGCCAAGCCCATGAGTGCGAGTTCGGGTCGCTGGGCCTCGGCTTAGTTGCAGGAAGAGCCACCGAGCCTCCGCATGGAGCGAGAGGGCGATCAGGAGTTTCTCTGTCTTTTTTGTGCGACCCTCGCGCATCCTTTTCGCTTGGAAGGAGGGGTTGTTTGCCGAGCCCTCGAGTGCGATCCTAGATCACTGGGTCTTGGCTTGGTTGCAGGAAGAGCCCCGAGCCTCCGCACGGAGCGAGAGGGCGATCAGGAGTTTCCCTATCTTTTTTGTGCGACCCTCACGCATCCTTTTTGCTCAAAAGGAGAGGTTGTTTGCCGAGCCCTCGAGTGCAAGCCTAGGTCACTGGGTCTCGTCTTGGTTGCAGGAAGAGCCCCTGAGCCTCCACACGGAGCGAGAGGGCGATCAGGAGTTTCCCTGTCTTTTTTGTGCGACCCTCGTGCATCCTTTTCGCTCGGAAGGAGGGGTGGAATATGCCAGGCTACCCTCGGTGGGCGCGAGCAGTGACATCTTTGGTGAGCTGTTATTGGGTAAGTCCAAGTGGAGGCACGTGCCCCATTCGATAGGGGTCGGCTTGTAGTCCAGAGACGCACTCCAAAAGTACCAGAGGGCTTCTCTAGTGGGTCCCAGGGCCGTTCGATTGGCCCTAGGGGCTCGTCGCCTCTCTTCGGTGGGATCCCATTCAGAGACCTCCCTGCCGGTCTCGGACACGACTTAGGGCATCCCAAGCAATTGCTTGCTTGGGCCTCGGCCACGTACGGGCTCGCCCATAGTCATCCCTGACTCTATTTGTCCTGGGGCGGCTGTCGAGACCCTCGGGGGCCTAGCCTTCGAACCCCTAGACCGTAACGGGCTCGGTGCCCGGTTCCTTAGCCTGAAAGGAATCGGCTAGGGGATATTCCCCCCATCGGTCGACAATGGCATTGCGCGCGCCTTTGAGGCGGTTTCTCGAGAACGGGCTTTGCTTTATTGCGGCGGTTGGATGCAACGCGATGTCTGCGGATGGGACGTTACTGCGCGCGCACGGTTAATGAGGAAAGGGCGGACGCGTGGGCGGTTTAGTCGGATCTGGATTAACTGCGCTATATCTGAGGGAAATTTCCCCGGTTTCATCGCCCGACCGTTACACCCCTTCCCCCCCATAAATATGTGACGAGCCTCCTCCCGTCTCTCCTTACCTTGCCAGTCTGCGTTCACCCTCTCTGCCCTCGAGCGGTGGCTAAGAATAGAGGAAGAGAGCACCGGGGAGAAGAAGGTAGAAGGGGGAGGAAAGGCGAGAGAGAGAGAGAGAGAGAGAGAGAGAGCACACCTTACCGCCGTAGCCGCGTTCTCCACCGCACTCATGGCTAGTGCTGTTGTCCTCCCGGCCGATCCTTGGGGTCCGTCTGACGTGTCAGAGGAGACGCTTCAATCGCTCGTCGACGATGGTCTCCTCCACCCGGTCACCGACCCCAACAGGCCAGAGTGGATTGCTCCAGGGAACGAGCCAGAGCTGAGGCCGCGCGATGGCTACATCGTGAGCTTCGTGTCTTTCCATGAGCGTGGCCTCGGTGTGCTGGCGAACTGGTTCATGCGGGCGCTCCCGCATTACTACGGCATGGAGCTTCATAACTTCAACCCCAACTCCATTGCGCAGGCGGCCATCTTCGTCGCCGTCTGCGAGGGATACCTGGGCATTGCCCCCCACTAGGAACTGTGGCTCCACCTCTTCTGGGCGGGGCTCACCACCAAGCCGACGGGTACGGTGGGCGTGAGAAAGGCGATGAGGGTCGGCGGCCGCACTCTCCAAGTGCGCCAAGATCAGCAGGCCCTCTACATCCCGGCTCAGCTCACGTCGTCCAACCGCGGCTAGTACAACAGTTGGTTCTACCTCCGCAATGATGACGGCGGGTTTCCCCCTTATACCGGGCGGATCGTGGAGAGCCAGCTGGAGATGTGGAGGTATGGTGTCGCGAGGGATGATCAGCCCAAGCTGCGGCCGCTTCTGGAGGCGTTGGAGAGGCTGCGCGGCCGCGCCCTTACGGCGACTGTAGTCATGGCGGCCTTCCATCGCCGGAGGGTGCTGCCGCTGATGGCTCGGCGGCGGCGCTTGATCGAGATGACACCGGACGAGCCGATCGATGGCATCCGGTTGTCCGCCATCGCCCTCTCCGACGGGGAGATTCTACATCGGGTGAAAGGGACGGTGGACGGGTGGATGAAGAGCAACGGTCTGTCCCTGTTCCCAATGCACCCATCGCGGGGGTACATATCTCTAGTGAGTCATGCATTGCTATGGTCTCTCGAGACCTTCTTGCTCCTTGTATTTTCCTATTCCCTTATTGCATTTGCCGGCCCTACAGGGGATGAGGGATGTGCGAGCCTCCCTGTCGCCCGTTCCTGAGGGCGCAGGGCGTCGAGCCAAGAACAGGGCAAACACCGAGGCGTACAAGAAGCGAAAGGATGCCAAGGAGGCAAGGCGCAACAGGAAGATCCTCGAGCGCAAAGGGCTAGAGAAACCCTACCGGCAACAGAGGCACGATGGTCTCCTCGGTGGGGTCGTCCCCGTC